CTGGCTGAACGGGGGAGATGGCATATAAGGATCAGGATTTGGGAGAGCACTGAAAAAGGTGCCAGTACCCAAGTAGTACCACAAAAAGCTGTGCCTCTTCTTAAAGACCTTTACCACACCTGTTGGCAACTTGTTGCAATACTCTTTCTCTACCAGCCTGACAGCTGTAAAGTTTCTCTTCATGCCTAACTACAATCTTTACGGCTGCAACTTTAACTTCTGACAAATCTTTCCATCTTCTCATGAACTGAACTGAACACAGTACTCCAGTATAAACTCATTTCTACAGAGTGGGAGAAGTCCCCCCATGTCTTGCTCACAACATTCATAAGAACATAAGAGAAGCCCTGTTGGATCAAGCCAATGGCCCATCCAGTCCAACACTCTGTGTCACACAGTGGTCAAAACCCAGGTGCCATCAGGAGGTCCACCAGCAGGGCTAGAACTCCAGAAGCCCTCCCACAGTTGCCCCCCCAAGCACCAGGAATACGAAGCATCACTGCCCCAGTGTTCCTTGTGACTAATAGCCACTCATGGACCTCTGCTCCACATGTTTATCCAATCCTCTCTTGAAGCTGTCTATGTTTGTAGCCTCCACCACTTCTTGCAGCAGTGAATTCTACGTGTTAATTACTCTTTGGGTGAAGAAGTACTTCCTTTTATCTGTTCTAAGCCTACTGTTCATTAATTTCATTGAGTGCCCACAAGTTCTTGTACTTTGAGAAAGGAAGAAAGGTACTTCCCATCAAAGTACAGTGTCCAGCCCTGCTTAGCTTCCGAGCTCTGAAGAGGGAGGGTTATGCTAATGCTATCAGGCTGCTACATCTCTAAAGATACTGCTCTGCCACCTTCTTATTTTTAGTGCCAGCAGCCTGGTTCCTTATTGGGACACATGGAGGCTGCCTCTTTTTTATAGGACCTGATTGTTCCAAAAAGCATTCCAGTGCCCAACAAACTTCATTTTGGGGAGTATTGTAGCAATGAACATAGATCTACAAAGGGCTGCAAGGAGGCTCAAGTTGATACCTCCAGTTGGTACAGAATGCCACAGCTCAGATACTATTGGGAGCTATGCAGAGTATCCCATTCTGCAGTCATTCCTATTGATTGCATTGACTACACTGTGCAATCGGCCTTGAGTCTCAGTAAGAAAGGTGGGCTATGGATAAAGGGACTTTAATCTTCAAAATTCCTGACCACTATACATGCCCAGAAGTTAGAGACTTATGAATTTTAAAAAGCCTGTTAAAATTTTTAAATTATCTTGACCTTTATCTCTCTTTTTAAAATCTATAATGTACAAACAAACAGGAGAACAGAAACAAACACCAACCTACTCCACATTCAAATAGCAAGGTTCTTGAAAAATCATCTTGGGTTACTGCATGAAGGGATTTGTGAGGAATTACTTTAAAGGAATCTAGCACTGATGAACTTGCCACATTTTGGAAATCTTTATTTTTTTGCACCTTTACCATAACTGGACAGGCTACAGTGTGCTGTCCAACTTTGTCTCCTTTATATTATGTACCACTATGGCTGCCAGCTCTACAAAATCTTTAGAAAATGCCACCACATTTCCATGTGCAGTAAGTTACAGTGATGAACACCATGTATAACATGGTAGCTTCAACCTGTTTATATCTGCTACAATAACTACAGTAGAAAAAAGTTACTATCACAGGTGGGGAGAGTGGCTGCCATAAAGAACTATCAACTAACTTCCCACTCTTGGTGGCGCACCTCTAATACTGACACAAATCATCAAGAATTTGGGTGTGGTCTTGGATACCTCCTTGTCTATGGAGGCCCTGATCACGAATGTTGCCAAGCTGCACCAGACAAGGCAACTGGCCCCTTTCTTGTCTCACCCTGACCTAGCCACAGTAATCCACTGTAACTCACTTTATGCAGACCTGCCCTTGAGACTGATCTGGAAACTCCAACTGGTCCAGAATGAGGTGGCACAGGTCCTGACAGCAACACCATGGCCCGCACATATTCAACCTGTGCTGTGCCAGCTGCACTGGCTCCCAATGGAGTACCAGGTCAAGTTAAAGGTTTTGGTACTGACCTTCAAGGCCATGAGTGGTCTGGGGCACACATATCTGCGGGACCGCCTCCTCTGGTATGTCCCCCCCAAAGAGCTTTACACTCTGCTTAGAACAACTTACTGGTTATCCCTAGCCCTAAAGACATCTGGCTGTCCTTAACCAGAGCCAGGGCTTTTTCAGCCCTGGCTTTGACCTGGTGGAACTCTATCAAACAACATTGGCACCCTGCAGGACCTTATGTAGTTCCGCAGGGCATGAAAGGCAGACATGTTCCGCTAGACTTTCGGTTGAAGACAGCAACAGGTACCATCTTACCTGGCACTCCCTTCCTCCACCCTGTCTTTCCTTGTGAGGCAGTAATGCATATTTTATGTTTACCTTGGTGTTATGTTATGTTAACCAGAGGTTATGTTAACCTCTGGATTTTAAATTGTATAGTCCTGTTGTTAACTGCCCTGAGCTCTGTGAATTCAGAGAAGGGCAGTATATAAATCAAAATTATAAATAAATAAAGTTTATCTTCCAAATTCAGTTCTGTATTAATACATTCACATGCTTACACCAATAAGCATGAGAGATGTTTAACACCACTTGCTATTATTTCATTATAATGAGCAAAGCAAGGAGGCAGCAGAGCCTATTTCACATTTGGATCTCTTCCAACAAAACAATTCTATGGGAATACCATTTCACACTAACTGCAAAATTTGTCATTTTATTCATAGAACAGCGGGAAAAGGCAAATAGCAACAAAATAAAAAGCAGGACTGTATTTCTGGATCAGAGAATAGATGGACCTGATTGAGTAGAAATCATCTGGCACATTTTAAACCTTAAAGATTTTGGTGATGAACCCACAAAAATCTTAAACAAATTTGCTGTAGGATATCAATTGTAGCAATTTAACTGCAAGGTAATATTCCACTGGAAAGAAGCTGCATCTTATATATTTCCAAAGGATTATGGAAAAGAAAGAAGCTGCATCTGGACCTGCTTGCCCTAGCGTTATCAGTAAAGAGATTTCGTTCTAAAAATAATGGCTAGAATTCCAATATGGGACATACTTATACAGGACAGAACTTCACTGACAGCTGTTTTTACCATACCACTTTCCATCACCAGAAGCGAGCTCTTTTTAAAACTGGACAGCACCTAAACTTTTTCTGTGGCATCCGTTATATAAAACAGCAAGTGAAACTTCACCATAAACTGCAATCTCTCCTATATGTGTATGTCTCTTTCTGAACTCAATGTAATTATCTGGGAAAGGCCATTTTCTAAAAGAAATATTGCCTTTTCAGTTAGAATTACTCTGTGTAGTTCCTCAGCATGGAATGAACATGTTTGTGTTCTTCTGAACATAATCCTATATAAATTAAATTTCTGGCACTACTGTTAAATGTCAGCAATCTTGGGTTCAAATAACATTCACTACTCCATATGTACTTTTGGAGGCAAATAGGATTAATTTGTCCAAAGGGATTCAATTCACAGTGCATTCAATAGCAATCTTCAATGGAAAAGCTATTAAAATTAATTCTTGCACAAGTTCCTTTCAAAGTTTCACGTATATGTATCCTGGCATTTGCACTCAATAAATCCAATCACATTATATACAATCAATAACCCCCTTGTTTAATACTGAGTACCAGCGGGTGACCTACAAGAAACTGTCCCACCCATCTTTCTTTTTCCCTTCCATCCTCCTTTCTCCAACTGCCACCTGTTCTCCTTGTTGGGTTGCCTCAGTGTTAGCCCATGCTGCTAAAGCAACTCAAAATAGTGCCTAGAAGTCTTGTACAACAAATGCCAAGGTGTGCAGCTCCCATTGTGCCATGGCAATTTGCCCACGGAATGTTGGGTGGGACATTTATGCTTGGCCCAGGGCACCATAATCTGCAGACTGGTCTCATGGCACAGTGGAAACCACATAATTTGGCATGCGTCAGCTTGCTAAAGCAATCTACAATGACACCCAAAGTTTCACAAGGTTTTGAGTGCTATCATAGTTTTTACACAGCCTTATCATTCAGTGATGCATCTCAGACACATTTGCTTAAGGGAGGAAATCACATTTTCCTGCATATCTGGGGGTTTGCTGGATAGATTTTGCCATCTGCACAGGAAAAGCACCAAAACAGGATGCAGTGAATATCTGTATCATGTGTTGGGTTTAATTTCATTGGATTATAACTACATAGACCAAGACCTACAAAAATGATATTTAGCTGAACCTACCATATTGATTTATATTCACATGTGAATTATCTCAGAATGAGTGAGTTATATTAAAATCAAAAGATAAGGAACTACTAACAGCCATCAGTGAGCTTCATGGTTCAACAGCTCTCGGAATCAATTCTCCCATTACTACTGGCTACTAGTATGGTATGGATAGTAGTCAAAAAGAAAAGGGGAAAAACTCAACCCTTAAAACAAATCAAATAGCCCAAAAAGGTTAATTAACGTCAAAATCCTTATTATTTTAAAAAACCTTAAAATGAGTTTTAATTAACCATAAATTACTTCTACACCATAAAAACTGCTCTACTATACATATGCAGTTATATATATATATGTATATGTATGTATATATGTATGTATGTATAGTAGAGCAACTATTTTGTTTTAAGGGTTGAGTTTTTCCCCTTTTCTTTTTGACTACTATCTATACCATACTAGTAGCCAGTAGTAATGGGAGAATTGATTCCGAGAGCTGTTGAACCATGCAGCTCACTGATGGCTGTTAGTAGTTCCTTATCTTTTGATTTTAATATAACTCACTCATTCTGAGATAATTCACATGTGAATATAAATCAATTAAAACTCACTTTATGTTTTTTTGTTATATGTGTTTAGCAGTCAAACCACTGAACCCCATTTGTGAAAGAAACACTTAGTGCTACACAAAAGTAAAGAACGATTGTGTGGGTAGTTTGTACTCACGCAGTGGTGGTTTGCACATCATGCCAGCTTTTGCTAAAGTTCTGTTTCAGTTCATTCATCAAGTTGATACCAAGTTTTTGTTTTATTTCCACAAGATGCTTCTCTTTGGCTACTAACACTTGTCGTAAAGTTGAGATTTCATCTTCTAGCTGAAGAGAATTAAACAACAGCAGCATTATTTTCAAGCATTAGTTTAGTATCAGATGTAATAACAAGTTAGTTTGGGGGATCCTAGATTTGTATGTTGCATCAGGCTTCCTCCCTGTTCCCCTTATACACAAATTGAAAACTCACTGCTTTCATGGCAACCCAAGATTAAATTGTGACTTGAAATCTTGGTTTGCAGAAAAGAGAACCAACTCCATCCCACCTTTTTCTTACTTTCATCTTGTTCTCATCCTTGCATCCTCCTTTCTCAAACTTCCATTTCCCTTCTCTTCATCATCCTTGGTGTTTTGCCATATTGCTACAGTACAAATTGCCACTAACAGGAAACACTACAGCATGTAGAAAGCTGTCTCACAATACAGCAAAATACTGCAGCATATATTTCACTGCTATTTATTTTTAATATAAATCTATGAATTATAAATATTTATGGTATAGACAGAGCATTTTACTTTGGATTGTGGTTTGCAAACTAGGTATCATTGAATGAAGGATTTGGCTACAAAAATTAAAGATGCCTGCATGTCATACTTCTCTTCCCTAACATTGCTTCACCACAAAAGGCTCACAGAATCATTGATTTAAACAGTTATACGTATACACAGTTTGTTAACCTCAAATCTCTGCTTGGAAGCTATGTGAGTAACTTTTTTAAGAGTCTGTCTTTTTAATACCAAAGATTTCCTGTGCCAGCAAATAGTGATAGGAAGGAACATTCCAACAGCTAATACCATGCAATCTCATAAAACATGGAACTGAGCTACTGTTGTTCTCGATGATGAATAAAGTGGCAAAGATTTGTGCAGCCGCTAGAGCCTATCATGATTTATATATTAATCTAATGGACTATACCTGCTTATTTTAATACAATTTATGTTACTTTTTAAAATACCATTTCTGCTATTGTATTTACTTGAATGTATGTATACTTCTGAGTTGGTCTTCCTAATAAATCATTTATTCATTCTACTGTTGTGCTCTGATTCCCTGGTATGAATGTCAAGGTATTAAAATTGCTGGACCTCGCAAGGTCAATTTGCTTATACTAATTTATGTAAAGTATGTTGATTTAGGAATGGCTGGACATTACACACACAGTCACACTGGCCAATACGCAAAATGAAAATAAGAACAGAAATGGCTATGTAAATATGTGTAAATTAATATTTAAATTTTCTAGGATCAGTACAGGGTGTTTGGGTGGTTTTTTGTATTTATTGTCCATAATGACCCTTCTCTAAAGAGATTCGTGCACAATAGTGAACAGTGCACACTGCTAGGTTTATACTGAACAGATGGTTCAGAAGTATTGGGAAGCAGGATGCCCTTTTAAGAAAAAAAGTGTAGATCTTATTCCAGACAGAACAAGACAACAGAATTGGAAGAAAGAGACTGAGCAAGAACCAGGCTGGCTAAAGAAAGACTGTGTCTACAATAAAGGCCAGTCAAATTAAAGACAAAAATTAAACAGAAGTCAAGTGATACTTTAAAGACTAATGAGCTTTTGTGACCCAGAACTCACTTCTATAGATGCATCAGCTCTAATTAATTAAAGCTTATGCTGGAACAAAGGTTGTTAGTCTTTAAGGTTCCATATATTGATCTTGGACTGAAATATTTCTTTAAATTATTGTTAAACAAACATGAAGTCATTAGTTAGGCATCTTAACAGTATGTTTCCCCATGGAACTTGACAGAATTTAACAGTTACACAAAAGAAGAAACTCTCTCTTTGGAAGTAATAATGTCACATTTTTGTAAAGTTCCATTCAATGTGTTTGAAGACATACAGAAATCCTGATACTTGCAGTGAAACTGGTAGATTTTTTTTAAATCATCTTTATTAATTTTAAATTAATGTACAATACAGCGTAATACAGTGCATCCATCTACAAGAATGTCATCTAAATGGAAAAAGTTGAAACCTACAAGGTTAACCACTTCAGATAAAGAGGGTCAGGGGGTAGATTTTGAGACTACTCAACCGAGGGAAAACGCTATGGTTTTCCCTTGGATGATTGTGGCCCCGCCCCCAACATGCCCAATGTGATTGCGTCACTTCTGGGTGATGTAACTGCAGCGTGCATGCAGGGACTCCAGGACCAGCGCTGGACTCACCCGCTCTACATAAGGTGGGGACTTGGCAACCCTAGCTCCCCCTCTGGAATTATAATTACAGACAGCCTTCACTTACCTGTTTATGTGTAGTGGAACATAATGGGGAGGAGAGTGAACACAGTGGTCACTGAAATAGTTTTAAATGGAGGTTCTTTTCCACTGAAACAAATTAGCCCTAGATTAAGGAATAAATATCCTCTTCAGCTGTCTTCTACTATCGCAACTATCTTACTTGAAAGATTGCACTGGATTACACAGTTAATTATGAGGTTCAGAATGCATTTGTGTCCAGAAGATTCAGATGTATATTAGGGGTAATTCCATATATTGATCTTGGACTGAAATATTTCTTTAAATTATTGTTAAACAAACATGAAGTCATTAGTTAGGCATCTTAACAGTATGTTTCCCCATGGAACTTGACAGAATTTAACAGTTACACAAAAGAAGAAACTCTCTCTTTGGAAGTAATAATGTCACATTTTTGTAAAGTTCCATTCAATGTGTTTGAAGACATACAGAAATCCTGATACTTGCAGTGAAACTGGTAGATTTTTTTTAAATCATCTTTATTAATTTTAAATTAATGTACAATACAGCGTAATACAGTGCATCCATCTACAAGAATGTCATCTAAATGGAAAAAGTTGAAACCTACAAGGTTAACCACTTCAGATAAAGAGGGTCAGGGGGTAGATTTTGAGACTACTCAAAGCCCTTAAAATGGAATGAGATAGTTTTGCGGATTAAGTGCAATGCCACATGGAAATATTTTCAAAGGAACCAAGTACTGCTAGGAAAACAACTCTCTTTGGAGTCATAGCAGCTACTCTAAGCCACACAAATTCTAAAAATTTCAAGCATTTCTAAATACAAATCCCTAATTATTTCCTTTGAACAATGTAATTATAAAGAATGTGAATGCTATGAACAACTTAGATCTTTTGATCTCAAATGACCTAGATTCTATCACTGTTGAGGCTACAATCTTTATTCTAATACATCTCTTGAGGATGAAGCCCCTAACCTATATTTACAAGATGAGAAAAAGACTAACGGATGGAGGCACGCACAATTAAAATGGAAAATTCTGTTTGCCTGACTTGCATTATCTTCAAGAGAGAGAGAGATTAAGAGGAGGGAACATATGCAAATAAGTAAATAAAGCAGCAAGATTATTTTCAAGGTGTTCCACTGATGAAAACAGACTGTCCTTTTTTTATAGCTTGAAGTGAATAGGCTTAATATTTTATTGAATACATCTGCATCCTGTTCTTCCTCCAAGGAACATAGTGGAGAACATAGGATTCCCTCATTTTATCCTGCTAATGACTTTTGGGGAGGGAAGGCTGCATGGTATAGGACAGTAGTTAGATGGGAGACCCCCAAGGAAGGCTCTGCAGAGGAAGGCTATTGCAAAACTGTTGTGTATTGAAAACTATGTTAAGCTTGAGTCTGGAGCAGGATTGTGAACAGACCAATCAGAGCTGCGCAACACTCTGGAGGGAAGCACTCTGATTGGACCTTATGTGTAAATACTGATTGGTTGTTAACTGACTTGTGGGCATGGCTACCTAAGCCTGGACTGTTTAAAAGAGAGCCTGTTGCTCTATGTTTTTGTCTCATTCTGATTTCTTCTGACTTGTAAATAAAGCTGTTATCACTGTTCACCTGCTGCCTTGAGTCTCGTATTCAACAAAAACACTTGATGGCACTTAAGTAGTAGAAGAAGAAGAGATTGGATTTATATCCCGCCCTTCACTTGAAGTCTCAGAGCGGCTTACAAACTCCTCTCCCTTCCCCTCCCCACAACAGACACCCTGAGAGGTGGGTGGGGCTGAGAGAACTCTGACACAAACTGCTCTTTTTCAAGGACAGCTGTGCCAGAGCCTGTGACTGACCCAAGGTCACATCAGCAGGTGCAAGTGGAGGAGTGGGGAATCAAACACGGTTCTCCCAGATTAGAGTCCGCACACTTAACCGCTACACCAAACTGGCTCTCTCTGTACATACATAGTGACCTTTGAGAGGAAGTGTGGAACTTACCCACAGCTACCTAACACACATTCCAGCTGGCAAGGTCTCTGATCAAAGGTCTCTGGTCAAAGGACAACCATAAGACAAATGATGTCCAAAATTAAAGCTTTCTTTCAAAATATTAAAGTTTGGCTAACTCACACAGACAACATTTTACACAAGCAATAGTAAGTTCTGCAATCATGATGGTGTCAAAATGTTATGTCGTACATTCATAAATGTGGAAGGTCCTCCATTCACTTTCCCCAGCAATTGCATTCATGTGTGGGCTCAAGCTCTAGCACACTGAACGTATATGGCAGCAACTTTAGTTTTTAAAAATTCAAGAAGCATGGACAAAACTCATCACTATCGTTTGTGGTTCAGGAGGTGGGGGAGGCTGGAAGGAGGCATGTTCCAGCTGTGTGGTACCCTCCAGCAAGGCGAAGTGGGGGCTGACCTATTCACCCACAGCCTGCCACATCAGTCTGCGCGTCATATTGTGGGTGTGGGCTGCGAAGCCCAATGGGTTTTCGACCTCTGCTTTTCAGCTCACAGGCTTCCTGCTCTACTTCTACCGCTGCAGTTTGGACCATGTGCTCTTCTATGGTGGCCTTCAAGCCTTTTTTCAGGCACTCAGCTTGGCTTAAAGGGACCATCAGCCTTTTTGCTGCCCCATCAGCTAATCATCGGGCAACCGCCATTTTTGTTTCAGGAGTGGCTCTCCGTGGCAGTTTTTTCCTTTTGTTTTGGAGCAGTTTTCTTCAGCGGCTTGTTTTTTTTGTTTCCCAGCAGCTGAGGGGGCCCTTACTGGAGTTGGTTGCTTGGCTTATTTCATCATGGTATC